ACCGGAATAAAATACATTCATGGAGCTAGTGTTCCAGCTGACAGGGAGTTACTGGAGTATGTATAAGTCATCTGAGCTGTACCTCTCAAAAGTGCTGAACGACACGTGGAGATCTGGGGGGAACAAAGCAAAACATGAAATAGCATAATGGACTAGATTAGTGCGGGTCTTGATGAGATGAGACAGGCTCCTCCAACTGTGATTGGAGTCCAGGCTACCACTATCAACTCAAAGGAGGAAACAGGCCAGGGTGGGCTTCCTACCCTCAACTACAGCCCAGAATTCAAGTTTAAAGGAGAATAATCAGCTCCAGAGGAGAAGGTATATTTACCATAGCACAAATCCCAGCCAGGTAGTGCTGGTCACAGGACATGCTGTCTTACAAAGCCATACCATATATCTGATTTTTGCAGACCACTGGAAGTGTTTGCCTTATTAGTACTGCACATTACTAATGGGAGACCTGGACCACCCAGAAATAACACACAAAAAGATGGTCATGTCTTTGGCTGAAGGTGAAACCTCCCTAATAGAATCTTACAATCCTCTCAGAAGGCATGTGTTGTGAGGCTGCTCTCCTATTGATTTTACCTACAGTCCCCAACACTACACACACAACCTTTAGATCAAGAGCAGCATGTCTGCCTGTTCTTTGATGGGTTCATGTAACCAGTCCGTAACATTCATCTGGGCATGTGATGGAAAAGCCCTCCCACATCCCTGCCTCTACAGCCAGGATGGCCCTCTCCTACCCCCTGCTGAGGCAGCATGGGTTAATTGCACAGCTACATAATAGGTGCCGAGATACAAGCCCAGCTGACACATTGAGGCTGTGGCGGGGGTGGGGGGGGGGAAGCTGCTGTAGGTTTGTAAGGTTTTGCCAGGTTGGTCATTTGTGTGGCTGAACTGTTATCTCAGTCACCCGAATCACCTTGGGTTTAACCTGAACGGCAAGAACAGGGAGAGTATTCTACAAACACTAAACCTTGGCATCCTGCTTGGAAGACTCAATCCTGTCCTCCTTCAGGAACTATCCCCACCCTGTAAAGAGTGCAGAGCCTCCAAAACCAATTGCCTGCTTATTTCACAGCATTCATCACCCACTTAAAACACCCAAAAACTCCTAGTGGATTTAATCTTTTAGTTTTGAGATCAAGACCAGACACATTGCTGAAGCCCTAAATTACAATTACTTTATTTAAAAGATTCTAGAGAATTTGACAGTCACCAGAAACTGCTTTCAGACAGATTTACAGGTTTTCAATAGGTTTGTGCGGCCAGTATGGATACTTCTTGTCCAGTTTCGTTTCAGGGAAGACCTCATTCAAGTCCTCCCACATCATCTGATCAAATGGAATCATGGTTCTGAACTTCTCAAGCTTGAAGTGGGAGGAGAGACAAGAAAATGTTAAAGTCAGTTGTAAGCAAGAATTCAACATAAACTAGATGTACAATTCGAAATTAAAACAAGGCTGCATGCCAAGCTGCCTTAAAGCCTGAAATTCACAGGGTAGAACCCATCAAACCTACCTGTTTCTCATACTGGACAATTGGGGATTTAGAGGCCTGCACATATTCAGCAGCACTCTTAGCCTGCAAGAGATCAAAGGATTTGGTGAGCACATTAATCCTAGATTGTTTCCTGAAGTGAAGCTGTGACTCTCCTCCTATTTCACTTTAGCCATGGAAAGGGAGTCACCATTCTCATCTTCCTTAAAGAGACACTTACCTTTAAACAGCATCTGCTTTAAATAAAACAGGTACAAGCTCTTGATGTCTTTAGCCAGACTCCAAGTCAGAATTATTCTATACCTCCACAAAGATCAAAGAGAAACCGTGTGGCAGGGAAGAGTTTTTAAATACTTACAGCTTCCTGCTCCTGGGCATTTATCTTGTCTGTTTGTGTGTCCACAGGCTCAGGAACCTTTAGTGCATTGTACTGTAAATTCAAAAAATAAATTCTAAACATGTTGCCTCTCAATTCTGTTGAAGCCCTGCATGCTCCCAGAGCTAATATTTCCCCAGTAGCCAGACTAGTGCACTTTGGCAGTTGGGAATCAGCAGAGAATAGGAAAGCCCTGACCATATACTCTTTCCTCGGGCCACTTCTACACCTACAGCTGGGAAAACCTATACAGGCTGTAAGAGAAAAAGCATTAGCTTTATGCCACTGGAGGATCCCCCTCCACTAAAATAACCCTTCCTATGGTTAGCTACGCCAGCTTTGGGGCTGTTTTGTGCTAGCAATGTGATATAAAGCAGCTGCACACCACAGCACAGGACCTGAGCCAATACCTCCTAATAATCTCTCCTAGCAGTCTGCTAGAGAAAAAGTTCACAGTTCTGTGTCTGGTACATCAGATATGAGCAGCCTCCACTTGGATTTCAAAACAGCAGCAACATCTAATTGAGGACGAGAATCTCACCTTCTTTTCAAACTCATCCACCATGCCAGCCTTAGCAACT